TCTCTCTCTCTCTCTCTCTCTCTCTCTCTCTCTCTCTCTCTCTCTCTCTCTCTCTCTCTCTCTCTCTCTCTCTCTCTCCTTCTCATTCTCTTTCTTTCCCGCTTGTTGTTTCTTTCACAGGCCGTTTCTACTGAGTGTTGTTTCCAATCCAACCCTCCCTTGCTCCCCTTCCCCATAGGGACGGCACCACTGGTTTCTAGTGCCACCAAACATTGCAGAGACGTGCCCTGACGTCATTCTGTGCTATTGTCTCTGGCCTGCTTTGCTTGTGTGCTTTCCCCCACCTGTCCATCCTCAAGTGAGTAAGCTTCACGTTTGGCCTGGCCACATCAAATGCCTGGCTCTATCAACTGCGGCTTCCACTTCTTCTCATCACGTAACACTCACTGATGGGTTTAAGTCCCCTTCCCTCGTGCTAGTCCTTGCCTTGCTGCTGCCATCCATGTCTTTCCCGAGTGGCCCTCTCTTCCATTGGTCTTACCATCTCCTGGTACCCTGAAACTATTTATTTTCGCATCAACTTTTGGTATTCTCCATGTCTGTGGCATTGTATCGACAGCATGCCTGCCTGCTTACCTGCCTGAATCTGTGTCTGCTATGCCTGCTAACCAGGCATTCTACTAGTAAGGGTCTCGCGGCACGGCTCTGCCAACGAAAGGTGGCAAAATACACTCGTTACTATTTATAGCAAACCGATGGCCATTTTCTGCACTCGGTTCGTTTTTCGTTTCGTGTCCCGTGCCGCGACGGCCTATGTCTCCTTGGGTGTGCATGTGCTCCTTGAGTCTGTGTTTGCCTCCCCTTCCAAAGAGTGTCTTCCCATCGGGCCTCAGGTAACTGCCCGATTGATATCCCACTGTGTACGGACGCAGTCGGTGGGGCCTTATTGATCTCTGAATCAGCAGCTGAACAAATGTAGTTCCGTGGATGCCAGGTTAAGAAGCATAGGGAGCCAACCATCTCCGCTAAATAACCAGAAAACGCGGAAGTCAGAGAATAGCAAGAATCAAGAAAAGTCAACGAAACACAGAACCGAGTGAGGAAGTAGGGAGACAATGGATGTGGAATCAAAACCCTTGAACAACTTTGACCGAAAATTACTCAATGATCGTCGCACTCCTCTTCTCATAAAGCAGTCTCTGCTTCCCCCCTCTTGGGGGTCTTGGATCCTGTGAAGCCGCTTTTAGCTGTGTGTCTTTCCTTCCACATCGTACCTCACTTCACTATCTCTGCGCAACGAGTCAATGACGGTACACTGCCTGACATTCTTGCATTCCTGCCAGTGTGGTCGCCTTTGTTCTTGCCGGCCTGTGTATATCCCCGACTTCATGTCTGTGCTTCGCTCGTCTCACTGCCCATCCGCTCACGCCCTCGCATGCCGGCCGCCATGCAGTACGCGCCTTTCCTTGTCTGCTGTGAGAGAAGCCTGCTATGTGCTTGCCTCCATATGCCTGTTTACTTTGTATCTAACCGCATATAATATGCGTAGGCCCTTGTCAGTCTATTTTTGTTCCTTTTGTTGAGCCAACCTTTGTGCTAACCTTGCTTTACTCTCCCTTGCAGACAGACATCTTGCCTTTGTGCGCGCCTGCTTGTGTGCCAGCCTTTATGCTCGTCTCCGTAAACTTCTTTGATCAGTGTGCCCGATCACGCCAGATGGCCTGTCAGCCCCCCCTGTCTCTAGCTATGTGCCTGTGCATTGTAGTGTTTGCATATGTGGCGCATGCCTGCCTGCCTGCCTGCCTGCCTGCCTGCCTGCCTGCCTGCCTCTTCCCCCCCTGATGTGTCTTCCAATGTGCCTGCCTGGGTTAGTTTATGTTTGCGTGCCTGGCATGGTGCCTACCGTCTTCACTGGAATAAAACGCCCGGTCATTAGAGCTGTATTTGGGCCAACTTCCAGTCCAAATACAGCGATAATTACCGAGCGTTCTATTCGGGTGAAGATGGTAGTCTGCTGCATTGCATGTCTGGCTGCGTGCCTTCTGACAGTCTGTGTTCGGTGTCAGACAACAAAGGCAAGAATGTTTACACGAAAACGAGAAGGTGAAATAGAGGGACATCCGTTAAAATTGGAATGATACAGAGAAGATTAGCATGGCCCCTGCGCTTTCAAGGATGACACGCATAAATCGAGAAAACGAGAAGGTGAAATAGAGGGACAGCCAAATGCCAGGTAATAAGGAAGAGGAAGAGCTAACCATAAAATGGTGAGGAGGTGATCCCTGGCATGACATTTGGTAGCAGAAGAGACCAGAGGAACCATGGTGTCTTCCATACAACGCATGATTATTTTATTACGATGAGGTGCAATAATAATAGAAAAAAGTAGGAGGTATTAACTGAAGCTTCTGTGCACTTGTCTTTCATGCTTCAAAATTGATTGTTTATTTTCTTTTCACAGGAATGCAGCCAATTAGGTGGCTTAGGACATTGTCACGTCATCAAACCACCAATATTCCGGAGCCTTGTTTTTCCAAGGCATGATTTTGCCCGCCACTGAACTACAAAATTATTGTGAGGGTTGGGCTTGGGAGTGCCAGCCGTATGTGTTGCTTTTTTTTTGTGCCACAATTTTTCTGAGGGGCAGAAACTTCTTTTTCTTCAAAATTTTGGGATATTTCTTCCCCCATACAGCATCATGTACGCTTTTCCAGATGTTTATCGAAGGAAACGAGAGCGGAAAATTGCTGAAGTTGGGAAACTCGTTCCCCCCCGCCCCGCCCCGCCCCGCCCCGCCCCCCTTCCTGGGGCCACTGACCTCTGGTTGGCCAAGCCTATCTGTGGATGCGGCAGATCTAGCTGGGCAGAATGGTGTGTGGCTCAAGGTGACCTGCGTACTTCAGCCTTCGAGCTTGTTGTTGGTTCTACATTAATCAATGAAGCACTGATCTTGAAAGCAGCTCTTGGGGGTAGTGGGGGAATATTTCTCCACAAGGGAGAATGCAAATGGGCTTCGGCACAGAAATCTTCTTCTGCTCAACCTCACATGTGGCTAGTGACCGTTAGTCTCACATGCTTGCTCGCCATAGAGCCTCAGAGGGATCTATTGCTTCTTTTCCTTTTCTTTATGTTCCTTTTAGTGCACCTTCTGTTAGTTGGTTTCTGGCTTCTTCTTCAGTCGTTCACGATATCTTCTTCGTGTTTTCCATCATGTTCCTTGATCGAACACATTCCTTTGATGTCATGCTGTTGGGAGCCGGCCGTGCTTTTTTCATGAAGCCATTGACTGACCAGTTGGGCAGCATAGATGATCAGCCACTGCATGCTGCACATGATGTTGGGGTCTCACCGTTTGCTTTGTTCATGAAGCCATTGATTGCCCAGTTACGTTAGGTGGGCAGCATAGATGATCAGCAACTGCATGCTGCAGATCTTCCTTGGTTTCGTGTGGTATTTCGTCCTTGGAATCTGGCTTATGATCCGTCTCTTATTAATCTCGGGTCTGGGGATCTCATCCTTAAGACCTGGTTCATAGTGGAATTTGACATCGTACGTGGTTATACGGACAGTCTTCTTGTGAGATCTCAATCCATTGCCACTCCTTTGGATCGAATTCCAGCTCTGATCAGGGATCAAAATAATACATGGCTTGTTGGTAATAACTCGTATTTTTCTGAGCAGGAAAGTCCCTGTGGTCTCTGCCTCCAGATTTGAGCTCAAGATTTTGTAACTTCCGGCTGTTTTGGGATGTTGGCGCTTTATCCGTCAAGAAAGCCAGGTAATTTTGTACAATAATTTCATACAATAATTTCATACAATAATTTCATGTCATTGCGAATACCGAACCAATACTAATTGTTTTTCTCTCAGTTCTTTTTCTGTGAATGCGACTGCAAAATGGACTGCATCCTTTTTGTGGGCTGTCCTCATCCAGTCTTACCTAGCCGGGCGATGGGATCGTCAGACATCCCCCCTGCCAACGGCAATCATACGCCCATTCTGTCACCCGTCTATGTTCAACCTCCCGATAGTGGGTCACCGTTTAACCGGCTCAACAGTAGCAGATCTGTCTGCACCTCCGACTTTTTGACAGCAACAATTAGGTGGGATACACCCACTCTTGATCAGATTGATACGGGACAAAGGGCCTATGGGCCTGCGAGATGTGAAGGAAG